ATAACAAGCCATCTGAAGTTTTGTTATATAAGTAAATATGTGTCACAGGGGCTTGTTGCACAGATTATTTTCTCACACAGGTACTACGCCTAGTTCCCAATAGTTATTTTTTCTGATCCTCTCCCTTCCTCCTCCTCTCACCCTCCACCCTCAAGGAGGCCCCAGTGTTTGCTGTTCCCCTCTGTGTCCATGTATTTTCATCATTTAAGTCCCACTTAAAGTGAAAGAACGTAGTATTTGGTTTTCTGTTCCTGCATTTGTTTGCTAAGGATAATGGCCTCCAGCTTCATCCATGTTCCTGCAAAAGGCATAATCTCACTCTTTTTATGGCTGCATACTGTTCCATGGTATATATGTACCACATTTTCTTTATCCACTTTCCCACTGAAGGGCATTGAGGTTGATTCCATATATTTCAATTGTGAACAGTGCTGCAATGAACATATGCATGCATGTACCTTTATGGTAGAATGATTTATTACACTGGTTACCTCAGTAACAGTATTGAATGGTAGTTCTGTTTTTAGCTACTTGAGGAATCACCACACTGCTTTCCACAATGGTTGAACTAATTTACACTCCCACCAATAGTGTATAAGCATTCTCTTTTCTCCACAACCTTGCCAGCATCTGTTAGTTTTTGACTTTTTAATAACAGACATTCTGACTGGTGTGAGATGGTATCTCACTGTGGTTTTGATTTGCATTTCTTTAATGATCAGTGATATTGAGCTTTTTTCATATGCTTATTGGCCACACATATGTCTTCTTTTGCAAAGTGTCTATTCATGTCCTTTGCCTACTTTTTAATGGTTTTTGTTTTGTTTTGTTTTTGTTGTTGTTGAAATTTGTTAAAGTTTCTTATAGACGCTGGATATTAGACCTTTGTCAGATGCATAGTTTGCAAATATTTTCTCCCATTCTGTAGGTTGTCTGTTCGCTCGGCTAATGGTTTATTTTGCTGTGCAGAAGCTCTTAAGTTTAATCCAATTTGTCAATTTTTGCTTTTGTTACAATTGCTTTTGTTTTGAAAATGAGGTCTTTGCCAGTTTCTCTGTGCTGAATGGTACTGCTTAGGCTTTTCTTTCAGAGTTTTTATAGTTTTGGAATTAACATTTAAGTATTTAATCCATCTTAAGTTGATTTTTGTGTATAGTATAAAATAGGAGTCGAATTTCGGTCTTCTGCATATGTCTAGCCAGTTCTCCCAATACCATTTATTGACTGGGGAGTCCTTTCTAGAAAGAGTATTTTGAATGGAATAATGTGGTAGGTTCTTTTTTAAGGCAAAGAATTCTTTTAAAAATATGAGTAATCACCTTCTAATTTCTATATTCTGAAAATTCTGAATATTACTAACCCTTTTTTTTATAAGAAGGCATATCAGCATGTCATTTGATTAAGTCTGATGTTCAAACTTTGCAACAATTTTGAGTATACAGCCATATATATGTGAATATATATATTGCTAACTCATATCTTTATCTCACTAATTTCTACTAGGCTTACTAGTTAATATCTCCCATGTTCTATTTCAATTTATTCAGGTCAAATCCCAACTGCAGCTTCCACCAATGACTTCTCCCAAGCATTTCTCATTCCTTGAAAGGAGATCCCCCAGTCTGAACTGAGCACTGATCAAAATTCCTTGTGTCACACTACTTCAGAATTACCAAAATTACAGATTTAAGTAGAGGTCCTTCCAGTTTTTTCCTCCTACATTCTAGAATCACAAATCAGTTCAATTGAGAAGACAGATGCTTTTCTGGCTATTTTGTACCCAGAAGTAGAAAAATTACTTCTAACAGCTACTAAGTCTTGTTTTGATTGTTGTTGTTTTAGTCCCAAATATTTCAGCAGCAGATAACGAAACATAAGACACTCAGAGGTGGCCTGCCGAAATGAATTTTATTCCTTTTGCAGACAACCAGACCTTTGGCATTTTTTGGTCTATGAAAATCACATTTTGGTAAAACATTCATACAAAACACACACACACACACACACACACACACACACATACACATACACATGCGTGTCAGCACTTTTCTCTGTGGAGGACAATGGTGTCAAGGACATTATGCATTTATCACCTAATCAAAATGGGAATTTACACTTTTTCTGAGCCAGTAACAAAAGTACCTTTAATTTTATTTTTCCTTATTTATTATTATTATTTTTCTAAAGGCTAAGTCTCACTCTGTTGCCCAGGCTGGAGTGCAATGGCATGATCATGGCTCACTATAGCCTCAACCTCCTGGGCTCAAGCAATCTTCCCACCTCCGCTTCCCAAGTAGCTGGGGCTACAGGCTAGCACCACCATGTTCATCTAGTTTTTAGTATTTTTTGTGGAGATGGGGTTTTGCCATGTTGGCCAGGCTTGTCTTGAACTCCTGGCTCAAGCAATCTGCCCACCTTGATCTCCTGAAGTGTTTGGATAACAGTCATGAGCCAACACTCCTGGCCTAATTTTATGTTTCATTAAAAATATTTAATCATCCAAATGATAGGTGTTATACTTGATTAGTCTTTAGAATACTAACATTTTCATGAAGGCATTCAACCTAAATGGAGGTGACATGGTCTAAAATTATGGCAGAAAGAGAAATGGAAGGCTAGTGACCAGTAAACAGTGTCAAATCAAGACCACTGTCATCACTGAATAATGAGCCTCTGAAGATTCATCTTGTAGGATAGTAGCTTTAACATGTTAATGAAACATAGTTGGGTAACTTTGACAATCTGATTAAAGCTATGGAACCTCTCCTGAAAATAATGCACCCAAGCCCATACACCACTCTAAATACAATACCAGGGGGCTTGCAGGCCCTCAAATAAGCATTCTCACTGTTATAGGATAGACCTTGGGCCCAGTCTTGAAATCAATTCAAACATCATCAAAAATTAAGGTTATTAACTCTTTTCTCCAAAGATCTGTATAAAGATTTTTTTGTAACGTTTGAAATATATGTATTTAATTTTTTATTGAGCCTTTAGTATATAAAAGAGTCTACAAAACCTAGTCCTTGCTCATAGAGAAGGGTGATAGGAAGTAGTGACAGGAGATACAAATGCTATAAGAGGGGTAAAAACACATTTTTTTAAGTGAAAGAGATACTGTGTTCAACTAAAAAGGCGGCAGGGGGGCGGGGAGGAATTAAGAAAAACTTCAAGGCACTGGATAAACGCTTTACAAGATGAAAAGAATTAAAAATGTATAGTTGGCCAGAGGAGGTGAAAGGGAGGAGAGAGAAAAGATCTTTCAGGAGAAAGGAAGGAACTTAGCATAAAGTATACAGTCAGGAGAATGAAGTAGTTTTTAGAATTCCCTTTGATTACAGCAGTGATCCTCAATCCCAGCTGTACATTCTAATTACCTGGAGAGATTTTAAGAGCCTACCCCAGACCATTAAATCGGAATCCCTGGGGGTGAAGCCCAGACATCTGCATATTTTTAAAGCTCCCTGTGATTCTAACATGCATCCAGGATTGGGTGCATGTCAGAATAGACCAGAGCATAGCAATGGTACTGTGGACAGCAGGAGATGAGACTGGCTGAGTAGGTGAGTGTTACATACTAGAAGGCCTCCTACCACCACGAGGCATCCTGCACTTAGCCAAGAATCCTGGAAAGGTTTTAGGCAGGAGCGACATGATCAGAGCAGTCTCTGCATTATTCTTTGTTGGAAACTGCCCTGACATATACATTGAGCTCATACAGATTGAATAAACAGAAACGAGGCACTGACTTTCTCTACCATGTCTAGTTACCATGGAAACAGAATACCATCGCTCATAAGGAAGTGTTTCCAACTTGTTCTCTGTGATCATTGCTGCTCCTTTCATATGTTTTCCAAATAAAACTGAAATGTCTTTTTGCCTATTGTGTTTCTATTGTCCAGAAATTCCTCAACTTTTTTTCCACTTTGCTTCCTTGCTAAGGATTTGCAGTCAGACAAGTGGCATACTTGGTTAATTCGCCAATGTCAAAATATTTTGAGAAAAAAATTGTTGTCTTCTTAAGGAGATTGTCTGGTTTGAGGCAGAATGGCATCATGGGAAGAAACGTAAAGTCAGGAAGTGCTGAGTGTGAATCCTGGCTTGGTTATTTGTTAGCAAGTTAAGTTCTTTGAGTCTTAGTTTTTTTGTGAGTGTGGTTTTTGTTTGTTTATTTGTTTTGTTTTGTTTTTGAGACAGGTCTCGCTCTGTCCCCCAGGCTGGAGTGCAGTGGTACCATCTCAGTTCACTGCCATCTCTGCCTCTCGGATTCAAACAATCCTCCTGCCTCAGGGTCCCAAGTAGCTGGGACTACAGGCATGACACCATGCCAGAGTAATTTTTGTATTTTTAGTACAGACAGGATTTCACCATGTTGGCCAGGCTGGTCTTGAACTCCTGGCCTCAAGTGATCTGCTTGCATGAGCCTCCCAAAGTTTTGGGATTATAGGTGTGGGCTACCATGTTTGGCCTGAGTCTTAGTTTCTTTATAAAATTGTAGGATAATACAATTTGTCTAGCATAGAAATGAAGACTGTAGAGGAAATATGTAGATTGCATAGTGCACTGGGCAAGTAATAGCTCAATAAATGATAACTGCTATGCTATTATTAAACAGTGTTACCCAGAGTTTAAAAGTAGGATTTATAATATGATCTTTGATAGTTTATTTTTTCTTCAAAGGGATTATTTCATCTCCCAAAGTTAAAAGCAATGAAGTGCAAGGAACAAAAATGCTGTGGGTTTTTTAAAATGTCTTTCTTTCTGTTAATGACATTTTTTGGAAGAGGTATCACTACCTAAAACTACTTTTGTGTTTTTAAGAAGCTAAGATCAAGACCAGGCAGGGATAACATGATCAGAGCTGTCTCTGAATTATTCGTTGTTAGAAACTATAATTCCAACAAATAATTACATGCCTGTAATTCCAGCACTTTGGAAAGCTAAGGCAGTAGGATTGCTTGAGGCCAGGAATTTGAGAAGCGCCTGGTCAATATAGTGAGGCCCTGTCTCTACAAAAAATTAAAAAATAAAAAAATTAGCTGAACATGGTAGCATGTACCTGTTGCCTTCAGCTACTTGAGAAGCTGAGGGAGAAGGATCCTTTGAGCCCAGGAGGTTAAGGCTACAGTGAGCTATAATCATGCCACTGGATTCCAGACTGAGCAACACAGCAAGACTGTGACTTAGAAAAAGAAAAGAAAGGGCTGGGTGTGGTGGTTCATGCTGGTAATCTCAGGACTTTGGGAGGCTGAGGCGGGTGGAACACTTGAGGTCAGGCATTCAAGACAGCCTGGCCAACATGGCGAAATCCCATCTCTGCTAAAAATACAAACAAACAAAAATTAGCTGGGTACAGTGGTGGGCGCCCATGTTACTTGGGAGGCTGAGAGAGAAGAATCACTTGAATCTGGGAGGTAGAGGTTACAGTGAGCCAAGATCATGCCACTGTACTCCAGCCTGGGCAACAGAGTGAGACTCCCTCTCAAAAAAAAAAAAAAAAAAGAAGAAGCAGGTAAGGTCAGGTGTATACATCTCACAATAAGAATTCTAAAATGGCCAGGCACCGTGGTACACGCCTATAATACCAGCACTTTGGGAAGCCAAGGTGGGCGGATCACAAGGTCAAGGGATCGAGACTATCCTTGCCAACATGGTGAAACCCTGTCTCTAATAAAAAGACAAAAATTAGCTGGGCGTGGTGGTGCGCACCTGTAGTCCCAGCTACTCAGGAGGATGAGGCAGGAGAATCGCTTGAACCTGGGAGGTGGAGATTGCAGTGAGCCAAGATCATGCCACTGCACTCCAGCCTGGTGACAGAATGAGACTAGTCTAAAAAATAAAAAAGAATTCTAAAATGACATGCAATTCATTTCTAACTAGAAAGACATATAGTTAGAATATGTGCAAATGGTAATTTTTAAGTTAAAATGCTTGAGTACTTGTAATGTACTATGTATCATACTAAGCATCTTTTATGAATTTTTTTATATTGACTACATTTGATCTTCACAACAGACCTATGAGGTATATGAGCTTTTGCTGAGGTTGAGGAGAAATAGAGAACACTGCTGTGTATGCAGCCTATAAGCTGTTGTCTCTATTATCCCTTTAACCTCTCTTAATTGTTCATGCCTGTAGTTCATTTCATTGACTTCCTCTCAAGAAATCACAGCCTGAGGTTCTCATGACCTCCCTTTACCTCAACTCTCTTCCCATGGAAAGTTCATTGTTTCCTTCCTTGCTCACTGGAGTCCTCAAATCTGAGCTCATCTCTCTTACCTGTCAGTTTCCACGTCCTGGAAATTCTTCCTCATTTGTGCTGCATGTTTACCTGGAGCTTGCTCCCTTTTGCTGAACCACTTCCTCTCTAACCATGTCCTGCTGGGGTCTGCAACATTGCCAGACATTTTGTTGTATACTTAATGAAGATGATGTAAAGACTGTATTTCTCAGTAGTATCATTTCAAAAAACTAACTGTGGAGGAAAGCAGGTCAAGATGGCTTACTTCCCTGCAGTTCTCCTATCATTATCATCAAGGATCAATGTTCAGAATCTGTATTTGAGTCTATTCAGTCAAATGACTTCACTGGCTCCCTCTATAAAATTTTATTGAAAAATTTATCCTTTTAAAATATTAAAAAATGCAAAAATGTCTTCATTTAAAAAAAAAGCCCACAAACTTCTATCATTGATATTTTCCAAGACTTTGTTTTAAACTGATGCTGAGAGTCATCTTTATGTATAATTCTTATTTCTTAGGGGAGAACCATTAGACCTAGTTGACCAAAGGAACTAAATTTTAATAGGAAATTCCACAATGCTATTTTTTCATACTTCAAAGAATAATACATATTATTGGTATCCATATATCTTTCCTCAGATCTTCCAAACTGCTGCCAGATTTGAATTTCTTAAAAATATTTCACTGCCAACATATTGCTGGTGTTGAAACACAATCCATGTCTCTCACAGCTTCAGCAAACATATTTAACACATTTATGCATACATTAGTTAGTGTAAACATGACTCACTTAAGCATAAAAGGTTTTTTAGAATTTTAAAATTTCACCACCATGTCATTCCACAGAACTACCTTGGGGCTGCTATGAAGGAGTTTCAAACATCTATCACATAAAACATCATTATACATTAGCAGAAACTCCATTCAGTCAAGAAGAACGCCTTACTGACTGGAGGCAGCGCTACAAACCACATGCCGTTTTAATTAAATTCATTTAAACTGCTGTGTCTCTCGGTAGATTTGAGGGCAGATAGAACCACTTAACAATAGCCAAGCTCTAATCCAGTTTGTCAGAACTAATAATAATACAAATGCAATTTCTCACACAGGGACACATCCAAAAAGTTCACGAATGGGCAATTGTGAGGTCTTTTTTAAAACTAATATTTATAAATTATTGCAAGATGTTACCAGCCTCAAACCATGGTTGCAATTTCTAATTCCAATGAGTTGATAAAAGGTGCTATTAATAAAAAGGCACATTTTGGGCAGCTGACATAACTAATTGATCAAGTAAGTTGAGCAAAAATACAAGATTTCACTAGGAAACCCAGACAGGGATGAAATCACTCAATTTTCCAAAAGCCAGAAGGCCTTGAAAAAAGAAGAGACCACAGAACACTTTTATGCCTAACCAAAACCAAATAAAATGATCCCAACGTACAAATAGGCTTCAGATGATATAATGTGATGAGAGATTTCAACTATGTAGGCAAACCTTTCATTTTCTTACCCAAATATGCCAAACCAAGGATTACCTAAATAGAGGAGGGGAGAGTCCTATTTCCTCAGCATGTTGTCTCCATAAGGGTGGAAAGGAAAACTTTTTCCCACCTCTGCAAATTTTGTTGTACCTCACTAATGTTCAATATAACACTTGGATCTCAAGATATGGGTTAAATTTAAACAAAGTAAGAGAAAATGAATGGTCCCAGATGAACATGAATTTACCTAGCCTGACACTTCTAGTAATGGATACTGGAAGATGCATCACTGCTAGCCCACCCAAGGATCTCTATAGCAGCTCAAATCATGCTTATTCAGAGCACCTGAAGATGATGGGGACACTATTTAGTTCTGCTGGATGACTGCTGAGCTTACCACTGTGCATGAACTACAGAGAGAGGAAAATAGATGCTCAAACTTCCTATCCCGGACTTTAAGAAATATGGTGTCCTCTTTGTGTCTTTGTCCTCTTCTTCTGGAGAAAATGGACACATCCAGAAGCTCAACATGACCAATAAATACCCAGTTTTGGCAAGAACGTTGTCTTGATCTACTTTATGAGGAGAAAATTGGTAACCACATATCTTTCCTCAGTCTTCCAGCAGCAAAACAATATCAATTATTGAAATAATAGCTTAAAGAAAAGCATTTTTCCAACCATTTTGTCATTTTATCTTCACAATATCCTCTTGACAAAAAAGGTTGACAGGAGATATGAAATTTATTATCTCAAACAAACAAACAAAAAATTGCTCCAGGGAAGGAAGATGATTTTGGAAATAGGGAACACGCTGGAAGGAATAGGAAAGGAAGGAAATTTTAAATGGTTCTGCTGAAGATGAAAAAATACATATGAATGTGGTGTCCTCAGTCAGAGCATATATGGAAGGAATGGGAGCTATGAGGGTAGCAATGTGCAATGCAAATCCCACCCACCCCTGTGAGCAGTTAATAAATTATAAACTCATACACATTTAACCATATTTTCCTTCTTACGTTGGAACGAATATTACCCAGAGAACTATTTGATGCATGACCATATGCCTGACCCAAACTGCTTACTTAATCAGGAAATGTGAATGGGCTGCCAGGGACTGCCATGTGACACTAGAGAATAATCAGGTAGAGGAAATCAAAGGTTATTCTCACTTGCTTTGAGCCATTGGTTCAAACTTATTTCCCATTACCAGAAAAATAATTAGCCTGTGCCTCCAGTATGCCACACGCATGGTGAAAATGAATACTTGTTCTAGTGATCACAAGAAAATAAATGCCACACTACAAGTTTTGAGCTACTGGAAGAGATCATTTGTTCTTGAATAGTCCAAGAGCTATTTTACTTTATGCAAAGGAAAGGTTTTCAGTCTGATATATTTTACTGCAACAAAATCAACTGAATTATTATCAAAACTAGAATGCTGTGCTAATAATTTTACAGAAAATCTTATTTCATGCTATGGCTTTATGGTAATAGTGATCAGGTTTTACTTTTTTGTTGTTGTTGTCTTTTCCTTTTCAAAGAAGTTATCAAGTATAACAAGCTCCCTGGATCTTTTCCCTCACAGACCTACACAGTTAGTCCCTTCACATACAGGCTCAGCACTGACACACATTCATAGAGAATTAAAAAGATTTCAGGGCTCGGCAGCAAGGTGATTTTATTGATGCTTCCACTCTGACTCTGTAATCCACTTCTACAAATAGGCTCTTTCCTTATTCCTAGAATGCAACCCTCTCCTCTCAGCCTAAGTTATTCTTTTTTGTTTAATTACCTATGGTCATTAATATTGTCTTCAATACTTTAATTTCATCAGAACTAACATCTTGACATAATTTTCCTACTACTGTTTGAGATTCTTAAAAGGACCAAATAACATCCAAATGAGAAATGAGATAAGGATAAAAAATGGAAAGAGAACAAAATAATACTTTCATTATTGATAAAGAATGAGTGAAAATGTTGGTTATGGGAGGCCGAGGCAGGTGGATCACGAGGTCAGAAATTCGAGACCAGCCTGGCCAATATGGTGAAACCCCATTTCTACTAAAATACACAAATTAGTCAGGGATGGTGGCATGCCCTTGAGATGGAGGTTGCAGTGAGCCGAGATTGCACCACTGCACTCCAGTCTGGGCAACAAAGTGAGACTCTGTCTCAAAAAAGAAAAAAGAAAAGAAAAGAAAAGAAAAGAAAAGAAAAGAAAAGAAAAGAAGAAAAGAAAAGAAAAGAAAAGAAAGAAAAGAAAAGAAAAGAAAA